AACAAATCCATAAGACAGTGAGTTTGGGCTGCTCTGTTGCTTGGCTGTGGACACTAAAGAAGATCTCATCCAACAGCACTATGGTCTGGACATGTTTCTTTCCTAGCTCCTATAAATATTACTTGATGAATGAATAGACCAGTTGTTTTTTTTGTTTTGTTTTTTTTTTTTTTTGGTTTTTCTCCGGTACCGGGAACCGAACTCACGACCTTGCGCTTGCCAGGCAGGCGCTTTTGCCGCTGAGCTAAATCCCCAGCCCGAATAGACCAGTTTTTAAAGCATAAAAGGTTGTCTTAATAATCAGTTAAATTATTTTTCTTATAATTTTATTTATATATTAATACACAAATATTAACAACCTAGATAAAGTTTCTTGTGCTCATAGTTTTAAAATAAGCAAAGCTAAAAAAGAAAAAATGAGCAAAGCTATAAAATCAGTGCAGCTTAAGTGAGTATAAATAGGATGAGGACCAGGGTCAGAAAGACATTCATGAAGATATTAGATATTTTGGAATTAGATCATGAGGTTTTTTAATACTGAACCAAGAGTTGAATGGGAAGCATTGAAGGCAGGTGAACAGAAGAGCAGCATATGATATTTAAAAGTGTTTTATCTTTGGCAATATTTAAAGTAGAAAAGCAAGAGATTAGCTTTGCAAGGGCAGGTACTTGGTTCAGTACTGTTTTGAAAATTTCTAGATCATGGTTACTTTGTTGTGTGAATGTATGAGTAATGAGTGGTAGGACATCCAAGTAGAAATGTGTAGAAAATAAAGTCTAGGATGGCAGTTAGCAAGTTATAACGTGGATTGCGGAGTTGTCTATAAGGAATATGAACCCTTAACACTGTATCAGATTGTCATATTGGTCGGCTACCCCCTTGCTGAGACAAAAGGCGAGGTATTCACAACTTAAAGGAGAGGTTTATTTTGGCTCACAGTTTCAGAGGTTTCAGTCTATGGCTGGTTGGTTCCCGTACAGGAATGGCGTGGTAGAAGGATGGCGTGGAGAAAAACTGCTTACCTCGTGCACTCAAAAGGGAGAAAGCAATGGAAAGCCAGAGAGGAAAGGACCAGGGACGAGATAAGAGTGCCCAAGGTCACGTCCATATGACCCAACCAGACATATCCAGAAGTGTGCTTTACTAAACTCCTAGGCTGCTCTTAAGCCAATCAAGTTGACAGTCAAGATTAACCGTGACAAATGTAAGAGAGAGAGAGAGAGTGAATAGCCTAAGGGTGGAGCCTTAACCACTATAGTGATGGCTGATGCAAAGGGGAAACACTGAGAAGAGAGAGTAGGGTGACTAGAGAGAAGGTACTGACCAGAAGGAAAAGGCCAGGAAGGAGAGTTCCATTTGTGCATGGCCAGCTTATAAATACTTACTTTGGATTTTTAAATGTAATCTTTTTTTTCCAAAGCAGATTTACTTTTAAGTTATTCTAGTGTTAAAAAATTTTCTTAACAAGTATGTAAGATTACCTGTTGAGGGGATCAAGGGGAAACCAGGAAAATAAAATATGTCCCAAAAGCACAGGGAGAAATTTTAGGATAGCATCATGTTTTGGAATTTAACACAAAGTTCTTTTTAGAATTCTTTTTACTACATCATTCGCTAAACATATAAATTTTAGTATGTTATACATAGTAGTTAAGCAGCAGGATAATTATATCACCAAAAGTTGTTTACTTTATGAATTTATTTAATGTGGTATCTCATCAGTGGCCTACCCTAGGGTACTTTAAGTGATTATATTAAGTTTTATTTCCAGGCATTTTTTGTGGAACTTTATTTTTGCCTAAAGTAGACACACAGTTCAGCTATTAAAAAAAAAATGAAAAAGACATGCGCTCAAAAATAGGCATTGGTTTCTTACTACTTTATGGCTTGGATATCACTGTGAATCTTCTTGCCAGAGTGTTTACTACACCAGCAAGCAGTAGGATTTAACATTAAATGTTCATTTTGATTAACTTGACTGCAGTTGTTTCTTGGCTCCATCTTTAGAGCCCACTGTGGAATAAAATTAAAACAGTTTTTATGATATAACAATTTAGTTGCTGAAAATGACATCTTTCTTTTTCCCTGACTGGCAGTGTATTCTACCCCTGAGTTTATTCCATGTGCCCCATGGCTCCAGCTTCTCCCTGCTCCTATCCATCTTTTATAATACTGCAGATTAACTTGCCTAAAACAGAGTTTTGGTCATTCCCTTATCCTTCCATGGCTCCCCATTGCCTCCCTTTTGTCTAAGCCCCACTCATTCGTCAGGGAGGGAATAACCCAAACGCTGTATTTTCCTTTCACATTTTTCTTGCGTTCCTTGCTATGAAGTCCCTGTCTGCACACTAGATACCTCGTCTTTCTTGCATAGCATGTGTCATACCCTGCCATCCATAAAACTGCATAAGAGCACAGACTTCTTGAATGCAGCAACCAAGACTCCTTTTTGGGGGCCCACTCCCGCATTGCCTGCTCATAAAACATACTCAATGAATGTTTGTCAGATAAGTGAATAGTAAATATTTTGAAAGTGAGAAACATGCAGACTCCCTTCTTCTCACACATTCGTGATCCTCTTCCCCTTTACTCTTTTCTTTCCCGCTGCCCCTCTCACCATCTAATTAATTCATAATGTACATACTCACTTTAGTAGTGGCATTGGCCGTCTCCTCCCTGCTGGGTGCTGAGTGTGTTCCTTTGTTCTTTGCAGCGTCCCTAGTGCTCAGCACCCTGCTTGTGATGCTGATTGAGTGAATAAGTGAAACGTAAAGCTGGAGGTCAGCTTCTCCCTGTTTCTTGGGTTGTTGTCCCTGGTTTTCGAGGGAAAGGACAGTGTGATAGGAGGATCAGGGAGAGATGTAGGGAGACCCTGAAGTCAGCTTCTGTCACTCTGAACAAGTTTCCTGACTGCTCTGAAGTTCATTTCTGAACCTGTTAAAGAATAACGTGACCTAACTCACAAGTGTATATATAAGGATTTTTAGGGAGAGTGCATACAGTAGTTCATAGCTGATGATCCTGATCATTCCAGACTTGGTGCTATGTGTTTTCCATTCCTTATCACTGTGTTTTCATAATCATTCTGTGAAATAGAGGTACTGTGGTTACTCTGTCCTGCAGGGGAAAAGAAAGTTCCAGCCCAAAAACGCACAGGGCTGAATGGCACAACATTCACCCCTCAGCCCTGGTGCTTGTGACTCCCCTGCTGCTGTGTGTACTCCTCCTGGTGAGGTGCTCAGCAGAGGGCTGTTTGATATCTTCTTTAGAGAAGGAGTTCTAGACCTTCCCTTCCTGCCCTAACATGCTTGAGGGACACAAAGGGCTCCCAAGTACCATTGGTCCCCAGGAGAGGTCTTGATGCAAAAACTTGAAGGGACAGTGATTCTGCTTTGGAAACTTCCCCTTCTAAATTAAATCCCTGTTCCCCCCAGCCCTGCTGTTAAATGTGCTCCTTCCGCGGGTCAGTTTGTCATTCCACTCCCACCTCCACTCCCTACTCTGCCAAAATAAAGTTTGTAATTTATATTTTCTACCACAAAGAAAAAACATTCCTGCATTAAGCCTTTTAAAGCTCATTGCATTATTGGTTTGGAAACAAATTGAATGGTTTATGGTTGGGATAGCCAGGTTGATCATTATTGCCTTCTCTATTGATTGAAAGAGTCCTGAATCTTTTAATTTCAGACAGATTTATGTGTCATTTTAGAACACATAGTTATATCACTAATAACTCTTAATTATTATAATAAAGTTAGCATCAAAAATAAGGAAGGCTATTTTCTGTGTATAGGAATTAGCCTTTTCAGATATTTTTATTGAGCATTTAAAATGGCTAACCCAGAATTAATGGGATGGATTACATCAGCATCTAAAAAACATTGTTTATGTTTCAGGGAATGGATTTGTCTTTTGAAATAGTTTGTCATCAGTCCAAAGACTAAAAAGGTATTTTAGAAAATATTAAAATGAAAAATAATTGTATTTGTATGCTATAAAGTTACATTATGCTTAATTGATTGGGAGGTTTTATAGGAGGCCAGAGAAATTGGCAAACTTAAATTGAAAAGCAAAATACAGGCATTTAGTATCAAGTACTCTTTCAACAGAGATATAAGTTTACTATCAATTTTTGATAGCTTTATTTTAGTGATTAAGAATATAAGCTTTGGCATCAGTCTGGCCTAGATTTGAATTCCCATCTGTTACCTAACATTCTGAACCTTTATTTTTCTCAGTTGTAGAGAAGAGCAGTGTTTACTTCATAAAGTTTGTATTATATTATATGAATATATAATATGAAATAATACAGACAATGCATCTAAACCATTCCTAACGTATTATAGACACTACTATAATGTTATAACTGAAATATAATAATTTAGGTATAATGAAGTATTTGAATATTGCTTTGCCACATAAGTGGGAAACATTTTTATGGAACTCAATACAAACGCTTCTTGTTTAGTGACTGAGTTCTGTTCCTGAGACTTGGTCTCTAAATGAAAAATTTTAGGTAGTATGTACATTGCAGTATTCATGACAAAGATATTCAGGTCAAAAGAAATTCCAACTTACGATTCTGATTTTATTTGCATGCAGTACTGTAATGTGTAACAATATAAAACTAGTACAATACTGTACAGCATAATCAGTAAAAATTATAGTGCTGTATAAACAAGATGTACTGTACCAAAAAAAGACATTGAGGCTCTCTCAAAAAGATATACAGAACTGTACTAAAAAAAAAAGATGGGTCATAAGTCAGAATAGTGCACCTTGATCATAAGTCCAAACAGTTATTAAACAGGTAAGTTGTTAAACGAGGAATATCTGTATATAGCTTTTAGCTTGAACTGGAATACTTCTGTTTTTTCACCAACTCAGACGTGAACTTTATTTATCTCATCTTGGGATAAACTGTCAACTTCTGTAGTAGTGACGTTTTAACTAAGGAAATATGAATTCTAAGTTTTGTAAATAAAATTGTATTTTCCAGGAGAATGCATAGAAGGACTGCGGGAGAATGATTACCTTCTGATTCATTCATGTCGGCAGTGGACCACCATCACTGCCCATAGTCTGGAAGAGGGCCACTATGTCATTGGGCCAAAGATAGAGATCCCAGTACATTATGCAGGTAAGATTCCTCTCAAGCAGCAAGATAAAGGAGAGAGAGGAAGGGCACTTGAAGAGTTGAATTTTTCCTTCACAGTGGGAAAACAGGAATTGTCTATAAACTAGACCACTGGTGGCAAACCTATGGCACATGTGCCACACTGGGCTGTTCATATTGCTGAAAATTCCAGAAGTTTCACCATCATTGAAGTAGACAGTGTAGTGGTTTAGAAAAAAAAGAATCAGATGCTTTTGTGTGGTTATGGTATCTATCAATGAAATCTCAGATTGATTTTGTCATCAATATTTCTGATTAATGCAGCTAGATATTTACAAGATGAAAGTTTACAAAGACAGAGAACGTCTATGTAGTCTTAGAATTAAAATCAATATGTGTAGCCAACCTTTGAGCTTCACATACTCGTGTCCTGAATAACCCTGAGTACCGCTTCATCATTGCTTTTGTGAATGACTGTAATGTAATGATTTCAACAGGTGCTACTGCACAAGCAGGCATTGTGATTTGGTTTAGAAGTACTGGCCTCGAAGTTCGGATAGGCCTGTAGAACATGTCCCTCTTTGCATATAGGCTTGTGGAACACTGCTCAGTGACCCCACTGTTAGTTAAGTGACGATCACTCCAGAAGTGAAGATCACTCTCACCTCGACAGTGCCATTTACACTTTTTATTGAGCACATTCTATGGCCAGCAGTGAATGTGGGATGTACTGTGTATAGTAGATTGAATAAACTTTCAGTAGCGGTAGCTTACGAGTACGCAGTTAAAAAAAATATGTTACCCTACTTTCTCCTGGTGCTTATGGTTCTTTATATAAAAGACGTAACATTTTCTTATATTGTTATTATAAAGATGGTGGGCTCTGCTATTACTATGTTAATGTATTTAACTATTAACTCTTTTTAAAATTTTTTTCTAAGAATGGGCCCTGAATCGCAGCCTAGATGAAATTCTGACAAATCAGTAATATATGCTTGGATGAAGGTTTTCCTCTACTAATTAAAACAAGAGCACAAATAAATGAGAGATGTAAAATGAAATTTTTGGTCTCTATGATATACTTTGTGCATTCTTTATTCCAAGGGCTGAAACTCATAGCAAGTATATCCTTCCGAACAAAACAGAGGCCATTATAAACTGGGCTCAATAGTCCCTACTACTTTGGAGGCCAGAGCACAAGGACTGAGCCCAGGATTTCAAGACCACCCTGAGCAATACAGCAAGACCTGCTCTCCAAAAAACCCCCAAAACAACAAAAACGAGAACACCCTCTACAATGATGGTCTCAATACACAAGTCTCAGTTTTACAGTGTAATCAGAACACGTTGCTCTCGGATTTAGCTGTTAGCCTATTACATTTTTTTAAAGCTAGCAGATCACTAATTTTTTCTTTGTAAAACAAGTTTCTTGGTGCTGTCTTAAGAAGTAGGGCCCCAAAATAAAATGATCTGCAGTATCTATTTATATTTCAAAATTTCTACCTAAGGTTCTTGCTGAGGAAATTCTGGATTTATAACATCATTTGCTATTAGGCAAAATAGAACGCATGGCTGTCATGGGTGTCACTCTGAATTTTCTGAGCTGTCTTCCGGAATTTTGCTTTACAAAGGATATCATGGAGACCAAAAATATCATTTTATGTCTGTCATTTATTTGTGCTCTTGTTTTAATTAGTAGAGGAAAACCTTCATCCAAGTATATATTACTGATTTGTCTGAATTTCATCTAGGTTGAGATTAAGTGTCCAGTCTTAGAAAAAAATTTATAAAACAGATAATAGTTGCATACATTAACATAGTAATAGTAGAGCTCACACCTTTATAATATAAAAAAAAATTAATTGGATTCTTGGTTCTGTCATTTACTGTCTGTGTTATTTTGGGCAAGTCGCTAGACCTCTCTAAATCTTCTCCTCATGTGAGAAATGGAGCTGGTTATAGTATCTTTCTCATAAGGTGCCCAGGAAGGTTAAAAGAAATAATGCAAGGGCAACACCTTTTAGAGTGCTTAGCACTTAACAAGCGCGCCATAGATGTTAATCAGTGGTAATAATCATGATAATCATGGTGGTTTAAGCTTTGCATTTTGAGGACACAATCATATACTCCCTTATTTATCTGGTTTTGCCCACTTTTAACATCATTTGCCATGTTTGCTTTTACCCCCTCTCCCAAGTACACACAGATATATACACATTTTTTTCTGGATTATTTGAGAGTAGACAACATCCCCTAATAGTTCCCTTGGTATCTCCTAAGAACGAGGATATCCTCTTATATAACCACAAAGCTGCTAGCAAATCCAGGACACTCAATACTTTAATCTACAGTCTGTGTTGCCGTGTTGTCAGCTGTGCCAGGAGTGTCCATTACTGCACATTTTCCCTCCAGGACGGCATCCAGTCAGGGCCACGTACAGTATCCCATTGTTCTGTCTCCTTTGCCTGCTATTCTCTGGGGCAGGTCCTCAAAGTCCTGGGGTTCTGTGATACAGGTACAGATTTCTTTGCTGTGTGATCACCATTACTAGAGTAGTTGGGAGAGGATGCTTCAGGCACCTGCCCTGCTCTCTTCTAGATCTTCCTGTCCTTCCCCTCTGCTGTGATCGAAGGGTTATAAATGACCTCTGTCAGTTTTAGTTTTTATTGTGAAAATGGCAAGACAGTGCTTTTCTACTTTAACTCTCATTTCTTCTTACATTTGTTAGTCTTTGTTCTGCTGTAAGGAAAAGCCCTCACTTCATTTATTTACTTACCTGCCATGATTAGCGTGGCCTTAGGAATCTAATGTCACTCGGGGGATTATATAATATGTTAATGTCCTTATGTATGCTGATGCTTAAATTTGGCCATGTGGGCATAAGCTGGCACGTGTATCTTAGTAACTTGCCTCCTTCATTTTTTGAAGCGTGTCCTTTTCTTGCCTAGGTAGCAGCCATTCTTGTTAGTCAGAGCTGCCACGCTGTCCTGTTCCAGGCAGTTCTCACTTTGTGGCCTTGGCAGATGGAATCTCTTAGAGTTGGGCATTGTACAGCCTAGGCAACCACACAGCAGTTGTATTCATGCATATCCTATAAAGTGGTCTGACTCAGCAGTTTTAAGAAATCACAATTCAGAGTACCTTTCCATAATCTGTACCAGATTTTCATGAAATCCTTCCTATGAGAAAAAATAACTTCATAAAACTTTGATAAAAGCTAAACATGACTTGAAGTTTGTATCAGAACTATACTCTAAAATAAGCTCTTTACTCTAAATTCTGAAATCATTAAAAATGCTTTGGACAAAGACTTTTCTTATCTGACAAAATGCATTTTAATTCTGGGATTAAAGTTTTGTTGGTAGGTCAGTCATCTGCAAGAAAGAGAACGTGTTCAGTCAGCGCCACGTTTTGCTAACAGTGGAGAAACTCCTGGGAGAAATGAGCACAGTGTCCACAGTTGCCGTTTTCATACTAGTTTTGTTCAGAAGGCATCACAGATAAATTTTATCTCCACTTTCCAACTTTTCATGGGTACCAGATGGGCAGAGACTTCCTAAGAAATGCACGGTACAGAGCTCAGAACTTCTCCGCGTTCTGCACACTCAGAACGTCTAACTTCAGAATTGCCTGGAACTTCATCAGGCGCTGACAATTCACCCTCGATGCCTACCCTTCCTGCTCTTTTATCCGACCTACTGACCAAAAAATATCTATTTGAAAAGAATCTTTGAACCTCTTACAGTTTAATTCTAGCTAAAGAATTCCAGCTAAAGAGCTCCTAAAGACGAACGATTTTCATTTTACAGTTTATGTAATTATCAAAATCATTTTGTCTCTGCAGCTCAGAGTAACCCAAGTTATTACCATGAAAGCAAATCTCATTTCTGTGACCCCCTCCCAGCCTCAAAAGCCTCGTGTATTCATGATTTGACATTTATTTTAAGTCTAATTTAAACTTCAGTTCCTACAAAGACCTGGATATTTCATAGCCTCTGTAATATTTTTGACCCCCTAAATTGTATGAAGATGCTCTGAGATCTAACTTGTGTAAATGACTTAGCACTGCACCAGCATATTATGAGCCCTAAATAAGTGAGTCCTCTTGTGAAAACCAGCAAAGAAAATGTGATAGAGACACAACTTAGAGAGATACATGGATCAGAATGCAAAGTGTGTGTATCTGTGGCCCACTAGTTTGCCAAGTAGAGGAATTCTGAATGAGTTCAATCGTTTGATGGAATGCTAACCGTCCTCATGCACGAACACGCTGCTCCTTGAACATACGCATCTGACATGAATCCAGCCATATCGGGCTTCTATTTTTAAATCTCATCCTCCTGCAAATCCGGTGCATCTAGCGAGCTGCAGCGATCTCAGTACTTTCCCTCCTAGCTGCACTAGGTACAGGAATAAGTGACACTTGTGCGCAAGGTTGGTGAGAATTGCTTATGCAGTCTTGCGGGCACTTACTCAGCAAGCACCTGGATTTATATCACAGGGTCTGTTGTTTAAATTCTGGTATATGCAGCGTCTGTCTCACAGGGAAAATTATGGTAACGTGGTACTCGCATAACCTTGAATTGTAATTACTGAACGAAAGGAAATGTTGAAACAAGCTAATTTTATTCTCCTGGGTTGCAGGTTTAATTAGCATGAATCATGGATTTACAAAAGTAACTACTAATGTTGACAACATTTTGTGTATTTTCTCTATTAAATTGGATAAGTTTTCTCTGATAAAATGGATAATAACTGAACTTTAAAACAAAAATGTCCAAAGAACCAGTATAGTACACCAGGGAACATTTATCCCAGCTAGTTTTGCCGCTAATAAATAGGAGACATCTTAAAAGCAACCATTTTTCATGACCGAATCTTTAGGTCACAGTTAGCAATAACTTCAGTGTATTTAGTACTTATTATTTGACAGGGACATTATTCACTCAGCCTTTCCCTTATGTATCTCTTCACATAACTTTCACAACCCAAGAGGTTTATTGTGTTGTTATTTCCATTTCATA